CGGTGGTGCATATGAATGGGTTTCACTGGTGTTTGTCGGGGTTTTTTCGTTTCACTGGTGTTTGTGAGAGGCTTTTCAATGGTTATGGCCTATACGGCCCCTCATAGGAAAGTTATCAATGTGTCTGTCCAGAAACTAATGATGAACGCGCAGTTTGCAGAGAAGCATTTCAGTTGCTCACGGTGGACTTACTTAAAGGGATAGTTCACTCAAAAATGAAAATGTTGTCATCGTTTACACACCCACAAGTTGTTTCGGGCCCACAGTGATTTCTTTCTTCTGTTGAACATAGGGGAGGATGCTTTGGGGAATGTGGGTGGCCGTGCGGTTTCTGGTCCCCAGTGACTCAGTATATTTTTTCCCTACTATGGAAGTTACTGGGGACCGGCAGCTGTTTGGTTGCCCACATTCTTCAAGGTAGTTTATCTTCTTTTGTGTTCAACAGAAGAAAGAACTTTATGCAGGTTTGGAACAACCACCTGAGTAAAGAATTTTCATTTTTGGGTGAACCTTACCATTATCAAAAGCAAAAAAGGCCTCTAACACTAGCTTGCTCTATTCTTTTTCTATTCAATCTGTTTTTGTTTTTTACCTGAGTAAAGAATTTTCATTTTTGGGTGAACCTTACCGTTATCAAAAGCAAAAAAGGCCTCTAACACTAGCTTGCTCTATTCTTTTTCTATTCAATCTGTTTTTGTTTTTATTTATTATATAATTTTAAAACAAACCTTGCTATGTGTACTGCGTTAAGCTAACTGATACTTGTTATAGCACTTGCGTATCATTGCTCTTTTGTTGATTTTGATTGCTTCCATTGTCATCATTTGTAAGTCGCTTTGGATAAAAGCGTCTGCTAAATGACTAAATGTAAATTATACATTGATTTGTTTTTTTTGTTTTTTTACTTATAAAACTGTACAATTAACAGCATTTTACTGTAAAATTACACGAAATGTCTGGTTAGATCTTTTACTGTTTTTCCCCTGTATATAGTACGGGAACTTACTGTTAACCTATTAACAGTTTTTTTCATAGCGTTTTTACAAAATGTTACAGTTAAAATTACACTTATTTTTTACAGTGTGGGCTTTGATGTCAGGAAAGCACTGATTCAGGATTTGAGAACATTTGAGAACATACAGCAGCGTTATTGTTTATAACTACTGAAATTAAATTAAATATAAATATGACACTGTAAAAGAAAATTCATAAAGCTGTGAATAAAACAAAGAATATTGGAGCACGTTGTACATGAAAATACTTTTTCATGTGTTTCAAATTTCACGTTCAGTTCAGTGTTACTTGCTACTTGCCATTAATTGTTTGTGAAATTTATTAGCGATTATTAATATTTTTTTATTTAAAAAATTTTTTCCTTTTTCCAGCTGTCGATGTTTGTTTTCATTCTTGTACTTTTCATGTAAAGCACTTTGGTTCAACCTCGGTTGTATTTTAAATGGTGCTATATAAATAAATAAACAAGAACAAGAACACATTTACGGCCAAAAACTGTAATTTTTACAGTATAATACTGGAATTTACAAACAAGAACATTTGAACGTAAACCAGTAAATTCAACAGCGCACACTGCTATTAAAATCTGTTTTGTACCTTTAACATACTGACAACCACGATTATAATGCAGGTGGTAAAAGAGAAAGCCACATGAAGAATCAAAGCTCATCACAAGCAGAAGTATATACTAATAGAAGGTGCACAGAGTCATTCACACAAACATTAAACACCATCATGGTAACACACATGATACTTAAATAATGCAATAAACTTTCATTAAACAACAGAAGATGTAACATAAAGCCCAAATGTACATAACTGATAAAAAAAACTATTAAAAAACATGAATATTTAAACAAAATACTTTCAAATGTGGAGTGTCACGCAGGGAATTCTGGGAATATCAGTTTACAGTTTTTGACTGTAAATTGACTGTTTTTCGGTGGTGCATATGAATGGGTTTCACTGGTGTTTGTCGGGGTTTTTTCGTTTCACTGGTGTTTGTGAGAGGCTTTTCAATGGTTATGGCCTATACGGCCCCTCATAGGAAAGTTATCAATGTGTCTGTCCAGAAACTAATGATGAACGCGCAGTTTGCAGAGAAGCATTTCAGTTGCTCACGGTGGACTTACTTAAAGGGATAGTTCACTCAAAAATGAAAATGTTGTCATCGTTTACACACCCACAAGTTGTTTCGGGCCCACAGTGATTTCTTTCTTCTGTTGAACATAGGGGAGGATGCTTTGGGGAATGTGGGTGGCCGTGCGGTTTCTGGTCCCCAGTGACTCAGTATATTTTTTCCCTACTATGGAAGTTACTGGGGACCGGCAGCTGTTTGGTTGCCCACATTCTTCAAGGTAGTTTATCTTCTTTTGTGTTCAACAGAAGAAAGAACTTTATGCAGGTTTGGAACAACCACCTGAGTAAAGAATTTTCATTTTTGGGTGAACCTTACCATTATCAAAAGCAAAAAAGGCCTCTAACACTAGCTTGCTCTATTCTTTTTCTATTCAATCTGTTTTTGTTTTTATTTATTATATAATTTTAAAACAAACCTTGCTATGTGTACTGCGTTAAGCTAACTGATACTTGTTATAGCACTTGCGTATCATTGCTCTTTTGTTGATTTTGATTGCTTCCATTGTCATCATTTGTAAGTCGCTTTGGATAAAAGCGTCTGCTAAATGACTAAATGTAAATTATACATTGATTTGTTTTTTTTGTTTTTTTACTTATAAAACTGTACAATTAACAGCATTTTACTGTAAAATTACACGAAATGTCTGGTTAGATCTTTTACTGTTTTTCCCCTGTATATAGTACGGGAACTTACTGTTAACCTATTAACAGTTTTTTTCATAGCGTTTTTACAAAATGTTACAGTTAAAATTACACTTATTTTTTACAGTGTGGGCTTTGATGTCAGGAAAGCACTGATTCAGGATTTGAGAACATTTGAGAACATACAGCAGCGTTATTGTTTATAACTACTGAAATTAAATTAAATATAAATATGACACTGTAAAAGAAAATTCATAAAGCTGTGAATAAAACAAAGAATATTGGAGCACGTTGTACATGAAAATACTTTTTCATGTGTTTCAAATTTCACGTTCAGTTCAGTGTTACTTGCCATTTCTTTGTAATTGTTTGTGAAATTTATTAGCGATTATTAATATTTTTTTATTTAAAAAATTTTTTCCAGTGATGAAAAACCTAAACTTAATAAACTTAATTTTACCTAAACTTTGTTAGTCGGTGTGTCCTTGTGTCTTTCACCTTTAACCCTATAATTACTCAGGTAGGGTAAGGTTAGTCAAATCTAAACCATATACTCACCTCAGGGATGACATAAGACTCCTTTGTGGTTGTTCTTGTTTGAGGCTCAGTTTATAAGTAAAGTCTCACGGGAGGCAATCATAACAATACAATCTCTTCTTTTATTAGTTACAATGCAAAGCAGTTAATGCTAAAATAAAACAAGATCAGCACAAGTTCTGTAATCAAACTCTAAACAGCAATATTGGAGATGCTGTTAAGCGCCCCTCGTGTCCTTCACACTTAATGCAGGCAGCATCTTACTCCTCAGACCTTATATACTACTTTTTGGGGAATTCTAACATCATTCTGTCATAATCTTATCAATTCCTCCATGCATGTCTTGTATGATCCAATCTTCCCGTTGTAGGTGTATCAGTCTCTGCAACTTATGCTTATAGACGGATGTCCTTCCTTTGCCGCTTACGTTGCTGTCTGCGTCTAGCACTCTTCCTCTTCTTCATCGTAGTCTTCCTCTGCACTGTAAAAAATTATTGTGATTTTAACAGTAAAATACTGTAAAAATGCTACAGTAAAAACCTGTTAACTGGTTAACAGTAATTTCCATACTATATTCGGTGAATAAATGTAATTACATTTAATGTAATTTTACTGGATGTTGAAACATGCTCTCTTCACCTCTAACATGCTGCCTACCCTCTTGTTGACCTTTTGGTTAATTACATAGCATCAAATTTCACAACTGTTGCTTGTTAATCCTAACAAAGCAAATGTTGCAAGTGCAAGCATCTTTATATCAAGGCATATATGGTATTAACCTAAAAACTAGCAAATAAAATATAATTGAAACAGCTAAATAGCAATATCAATATCCATATCCAAAAACAACTTAGAAATGCTGCCTTGTCAACTAACACAAAAGTTTAACTAATAAGCTATATATATAATAAAAATAAAAAGCACATAACAAAATCACAAAAACTTGAAACCTGAAAATATGAAAATAAAAGTGGATTCAAATTATTAATAAATACCATAATATATAAACAATACTACTGACATACAAATGTATTCTTATCTAAAACCTTATAGATTTATAGTTTATATTTGAGTAGATTAGAAATGTAGTCTGTTTGGAGAGTATAAACACAGTCAGCATCTAACCAGAAGTGAAAACAGCAATATAACATTAAAATAAAATAAATAATAAAGTGAAGTGCACACGATCAATATGAAAATGGCATGATGTACAAATAAGAAATGAGCCAAATTCAAACAATTCACAATAGTTCAAATGAAGTAATGATATAAGTAGAATAGCCTATTCAAAAGTGGAGTTCATAAGCAAACATTCACAAGAAAACTAATTTAAACAGCCTTTATTTAAAACTTTAATAATATAGCAATTCAAATAATAATTCAAAACATAGACTTACTTAATGCCATTAAGTAAATGTAACTAAAACTAAGTGTTAGCGAAAAATATTAAATATAATTTTAAGCAATTGAATTAAAACTTAAATAAAATAAAAATAAGTATTACATGAAAAAATGTAACTTTAAATAACAAAAACTTGAATGTTGCCTTGGCAGCTAACTGAAATTAATTGAAAAAAAAAAAAGTACTAAAATTACTAAAACTGAAATAAAGCTAAATGGAACTATTTGGGGAGGGAAACTAATAAAAATGACTAAAGAAATTCAAAACATAGACATTGACATTTTATTGAAGTAAATGTGTAAACATTTTCAGGACAACAATAAAGAACGTTCACATAGTTTCCCATAAATAAATAAAACCGTTTGTTATTTAATTTCACTGTAGACCGACTGAATGAACGCCTCTCTACAAATGGCCGCGCGGTTTCGACGACTTCCTCTGCAGACCTGCGCATGCGCATTAACCGCGTCCGAGTGCCCGATACAAGATGGCGGAGTCGGTGGGGAGGGAGAGGCGGAGGCGGGTCCGAACCGAATAGCGCAAAGCCTATCGAGGACTCCGATCAAACCTCTCCAAGGTAAGGGATTCTGCCATCGAAGAGCAGCATGAGACGTATAGGCGTGTGGCGGAATGTACGGGGCACAATAACATCCCCGCGGTTGCTGCATACGCGCGCAATAAACAGGTATTATACTGCGCAGTGAGCGCGGCGCCTAGTATGCGAGAGCTCGCGCCATCTTGACGACCGTTTCCACGAAGCAAAAGTTCGCGCCTAAAATATGTGGTCGTAACGGTCGAAGTTTGGCGGGGTTTAAACTCAGTAAAAGAGCACTTCGACACACTGTGCTGGTGGCCCTGTGTATCCCCGTCCTTTTGTGCCCAAATGAAGCCGGATGCTCCGCCACTTGGTCTTATTTTACCCGCTCTTTCCCGCACATCGGCTCGCGCTGCCGTAGCTCTTTGTTGGATGTTTTTCTCCTCCTCCTTCGGGTTTGTTTTCGGGCGGCTCGATCTGGGGTGGGCGGTGTAGCAGGCGCATGCGTGCCCTTCTTTCGCTCATTTGCGTTCTTATTAACGATGATAAACGCAGTAAACACTCGCGTAGAATAGATACATGATGTGTGGACTGATACTTGGTTTTAAAACTAAAAACCCGGTAATACTGTGGTATTACTATCCGATATCGTCACCGTACCGCGTAGCCGCCATAGTACATTTTGTAAGGTTTATTTGAGGAAAAACACGGTGTTCGAGTCTTTTCTGTGTTTGAACGATAAATTACTTTGTCAACATTTAAATACCATGTTGCCATTTCCTTACATTTAAGTTACCATGGTATTCTTAGAAGTTCCTCACTGTACGTTACACACATACACATACATGGAGCACTTTACCATTATACTCTTTATTATATTATGTCTGAATAGGTCTTTTATTAAGTTTTAGTTTTATTTAATTTAGAGTTATTTTAATACTTCAACAAACTAAATGGAAATTAAATAATATATATATTGAATTTATAAATGCGTATGTTTATATACAGTATATATGTATGTGTGGTTGGTTTTTGGTGTTTAGTTTTATGTTAGAATCATTATTATACACTCATACCTTTTTGTTCTTTAATGTTTTGAATTGTTTTTAGCTTTATTTTTAGTTTTTCTTTTGAAGTTTTGAAATTCTGTTGTATGCATTTGTCATTTTTATTTAATTTCTTTATTTTTAAAATGTGTATAGGTAGTATTTATAAAGTTTTAGCTTTTAGATTTGGACCTTTTGATAAGTTCTTAATATCTTTTTACCATATTATTTGCAAAGTACTTGGTCCCTGGAAATCCCATACAAAAATTTACCATGGTAATCAAAGCTTTTTGCAAATTGATTTGAGCCAATTATTGTTATTGCTGTAACGTAAATTAAAATATTTTTTTTACAGTAAAGTACTTCAGTGCACAAAGCTTTAGAGCACTGAATTTAGTTTTAATTGTGCGTTTATTGTCTATAGTAATACTATTAATATGATGCTTTGAAATATATACCATGGTACTGTATAATAATTACCATGTCCATGTATATTGTTTTAGTGTTTGGCAAGGTCATGGCTCAGTTTTATGAATGAAATGATTGTTTGAAACACTTTTTTTGTGAAACAAATGGAGGATCCAAAGTTTCACTTTCATTATTATGTTTAAGTTTTATTGTTTTCCTGCACAGTTTTTCTTTCACATTCACCTCAGCTGACTTAAAGGCATAGTCCCCCCCCCCCCCAAAAAAACAGTTTTCATTATTTTTTCACATCTTACTCAACTATTTAATTGATTACAGTCGTTTGCTTCAGTCTCTATTTTATTTGTATGTCCACAACTAAAATACATTTTTGGATTAATACGTATAATTGAATTAAATCAACTTGAATTTACTGTATTGATTTTGATTTGTCCCCCAGTACGCTGTGAAAATATTTTGCCTTTAAATTAGTTTAATATATTCTTGTGACCTATTCAAATCTATATATAAACTTTAATTTTCTGCAAGCTTAGGATGTGAAAGTTCAGTTTTGCATGTTTTATATATGGGGGTCTCTTGGGCCCCAAACACTACACTTAGGGTTAATATGACTTTCCTGTATATTGCTATCAGATTTGCAATGCTTTAATTTGGTAAAAATGCAACCTTTTCAATCTTAAGACAGGACAAATGAGGAGCTATGACGAGTGAAAACCACGGAACAGAAAAGGCAGACTCGGCATTGGTCATGTCGCCCACCGAGTCCACGTCACAGGCGGCTCCCTTCTCACCCTCAACCAGCAAACCCACCCAAGAGCTGCCAGGTGTGTATCTGTAAGGCTTTAAATGAACGACACGACTCCCTGTGGTCCTCGGTGCTCCGTGTGGGACTGCTGTGTCCTGCGCGTCTGATTCTTAGTGTCTCTTTCAGATGAGCTGATTCAGGCTGGATGGTCAAAATGTTGGAGTAAGAGGGAGAATCGGCCGTATTACTTCAACCGATTCACAAACCAGTCGCTGTGGGAGATGCCTGTCCTGGGCCAGCATGATGTCATTGTAAGTTCAGGCTTCAGAGCCAATCAAATCTCTTTATTATGGAGTTTGGGGAAGAACTTTGACAGGCTTTATTGTTTATACAGGTTACATTTTTAGATTGAATACATAATCCTGTATCAGTTTTATTTAGTATTAATCATATACTATTATAGTATTTATTGACATTTGTTATATATATTTATTTTTATTTTTTTCAGTTTTCATTTTAATTTTAGTAGTTGCGTTATGTGCTTTTGGGTTTAGGGTTAGGGTTACATTCATAATTCTGCATCTGTGTTATTTTAGTATTATTTATGTACTATATAGTTTTATTCACATTTTGAATTATATTTTGTTTTTATATTTTCAGTTTTGATTTTAATTTTAGTCATTGCATTGTGTTATGTGCTTCTGGGTTTTGTTTATACAGTTTTTATTTAGATAATACTTCTTGTATCAGTGTTATTGTAGTACTATTTTATATACTATTATAGTATGAAATTGAGTTTGCTTTTGTTTCTATATTTTTAGTTTCATATTTTTAGGTTGTTTCAATAATTCTTATTAGTTTTTTATTTTTAAAAATATTTCTATTTAGCTTTCATATATTTTTATTTCAGTTTTAATACTTCACTTAATACATAACTTTTTTTTTTTTTTTAAGTTTAGTTTGTCATCCAATAATATTTTACTTTATTTCAATTACCAAAAACGATTTAATCGAAAAGTAATCAAAACCGAAATTCAGAACCTCTAACCGATGTAATTTTCCCTTGTCGGTTATTCAGTTTTTTTTAATCCTGCTAATACTTTCCACTTAAAAACATACTACCGCGTGTGTAGTCCCGTCACTCCACCACGTCCAGTCAGCAACATGGAGGAGAACTCAAACACTGAGTCAACTCCGCAACAAGAGCAGCTTGTACCAAAGAAAAACACAGTGTCCGTCATTTGGACACATTTTGGGTTCAGTAAAGAAGACACTGAACAATACGAAGTCAAATGTAAACACTGCAGAAAAACTGTTTCAGCGACCAACACCACCATAGGGGCCGTTCACACAGACTGCATTTTTCCATTCCAATTTTTTCTATGTAAACACTCGCTAGATGGAAGTGTATGACCGTTGTGCTCACGTCTTTTGCAGCATTTCGCAAGTGTCAAGTTAAAAGAATTTCAGCTTTTACACTCAGTGCCGCTCATCAATGTCAGTTTCAACACAGTGGACCAATCAGAAGACCCCAGAGGTGGGGCGAGCGTTGCGAGCTTATGTTTACAGTAGCAAGTTGGCATGGCAGCTATTTTAATTGATGGCAACATGGTGGAGGAGGCGTTCTGTGCTGCACTTTTGTTTTTGTTTTTTTTTTTTATTTCTGAGTGCCTTCTCACATTTTTAAGATGCCTTCTGTGTGAATGGCCAGTAAGAACCTAGAGTAAATACTTGTGGATATAGAGTGACAGGACAAGATCACATGCAACAGCGTTCAGGAGTAAGGTTCACATCTATAATGTTATGAGCACACAGGATACACAGCCTGCTGATCCATGAGCAGTTATCAGCAGTGTTCTGTTTACATTTTTGCAGATGCCAATATTTAAAATATTTGTTTACAGGAGATGCAAGTTATTATTTTTTAGGGATGCACCAATACCGATACTGGTATCAGTATCGGGCTCGATACTGAGCTCCTGTATTCGTACTCGTTAAAATGCCCCGATACCAAACGCCAGGATTAAAACTAAATCGTAAAAATAAGACCATAAGACCATTTATAGGGGCATTCACTATAAATGTCATTTATTTTTAACCTTAGGCATACACGACTTTCCGGCGAAAGTGAATCTAGCAGCTTGTGTGAAATGCGCTAGACTGTAGTGTAGTACTGGAAAAAGTGGTATCGGTGCATCCCTATTATTTTTATTCTTCACTTTGCATTATTTAAAATAATATTTATTTACAAGAGATACAAGTTATTTTCTACTTTTCACATGGCAATATTTAAAATGTATTTTGTTTGTGAGAGGTGCTGGTTATTTTTTACTTTGGATATGCCAATATTTAAAATCATATTTTTTGTTTGCAGAAAATGCAAGTTATTTTCTACTTTTGTTTTTAGGAAACTTGCTTTTACATTAAAACTAAAATGTGACTTTTTCCCCCCCCCATAAGATGTTTTCATTTCAAGCAATGTTTGCTTTGATTTCATTTGTTCGAAATATTCAGTAAATAACCATAAAGAGTTTGTGTTTCCTTCAATTATTTAAAAATCACAAAGATAAGAAATGCACTCTTTCATTAGAAAAAAAAATCCCACCTTTAATAGTTGAGCATATTTGCAGTACAAACCATTTCAGTGAACTATGAGGGCAAAAACACAAGCAAACAAAATAATAATTTATTAATCGTAATCGAGGTAATATGTTCAATTAATTGAGATTTTGATTTTAGGTCATATCGTCCAGCCCTAATAACAACACTGTCCTGTTGTTTTAGTCAGATCCTCTGGGCTTGAATGCGGCTCCAGCCTCTGGCGAGGCGATGAGCGACGCAGGTCTGGGCAACGGTCAGCGTAAGAGACCTCCATTGGAGGACGCTCAAGCAGGCCCTAACAGTTTCAAGAGGCCAAAGGTCTGTTTTCTTCCAAATAGCTTATCTGATATGCTTATTTGATGCTTATAAAACAAATATCTATTTATCAACAACTGTTAATTTGTTTAGTCATATTTTAGTGAATAATTTTTCTTATTTCTGTATGATTTCAGGTTGAGATTCCAGTCACTCCAACCACTCCCACTGTCCCGATTTCTCCCAGCACGCCAGGAGTCAAACCCTGGGTCAACACCACAGATGATAAGCAAGGCCAGACCAGCGTCCCCGCTCCGGCTCCGTACCGGCCCTCTGTGTGAGTATAGGGTCCGTTTACTCCTCATTTATCAGTCACATTGGCTAAAAGCATCAACTAAAGGGTTAAATGTAAAAGGGAAAGTGAAAAGTGATTTCAGATATCCTGAGAGGGGTTAAGCTCTGTATACATGACGTGTCTGAACTGGTCTTTGTGTTTCAGGGTGTACTGGGACCTGGACATTCAAACCAACGCTGTGATCCGCGAGCGAGCCCCGGCGGACCACCTGCCTCCACACCCTGAGATCGAGTTACAGAGAGCTCAACTCACCACCAAACTGCGGCAGCACTACCACGAGCTGTGCTCTCAGCGTGAGGGTATGTGCACACCGCTGCCTTCACATCTGACTGAATATGTTCCCTTAAAATAGCTTTGCAAGATTATAAATATTAATGTCAATGCAACAAAAACAGCACTGTATAGTTTTTGTCTGTTTTGAAACAGCTGAGCTACTTTTATGCAACTGAAAATTTAGTGAAGTTAGTAGCTTTGTTACTCATTGTTTCATAATCCGCAACACTGGTCCATCTCCATTTTCACAGCCAATTGCAGTCTGGGTTAATGGTTTATGAGTGCATTGCAAAGTTACACTAAGGAAAATGCAGCTCAGTTGTGTCTCTTAATTTGTCTGGTGTCAGTAGGATTTTTTTTTTTAAGAAATTAATAATTCTATTTAGTAAGTCAAAAGTGACAGGAAAGACATTTCTAATGTTATAAAAGATTTGTTTCAAATAAATGATGTTCTTTTGAACATTCTATTATTCATCAAAGAATTCTTTAAAATGTGTAACAGTAAATGTATTCACAAAAATATGATTAGCAGCACAACTGTTTTCAACATTGATAATAATCAGAAACGCTTCTCGGGCAGCAAATCAGCATATTAGAATGATTTCTGAAGAATCATGTGACACTGAAGAATATATTTTTTTATATATTCAAATACAAAACTGTTATTTTAAATTGTAATATTTCACAATATTGCTGTTTTTATTGTATTTTTGATTAAATAAATGCACCCTTTGTGAGCAGAAGATCCTTCTTTCAAAAACAGTAAAAAATCTTACTGACCCCAAACTTTTAATTGCTATAAATATAATTTATAGATTACTGTTTGGAAATAATTGGTAGAAACGATTGACTGACTGTTTTCAGGCATAGAGCCCCCGCGGGAATCCTTCAACCGCTGGCTTTTGGAGAGAAAGGTGGTGGATAAAGGTCTGGATCCGCTCTTGCCCAGCGAATGCGACCCGGTCATTTCTCCATCCATGTTCAGAGAAATCATGAACGACATTCCCATCAGGTACTAGAACATCCGTGTTCAAGCTTCTCATTGTTATATATTTCAATATGGCAATGCTTTTATAATTTCCTTCTTTGCAACAAATTTCAGGCTCTCTCGAATCAAATACAAGGAAGAGGCCAGGAAACTCTTGTTTAAATATGCAGAGGCGGCCAAGAAAATGATTGACTCCAGGTAATTATTCATGTCAGTTACTAAGATTTTTGAGACAGACATGAACGTGGTATTAAAGTTTATTTCCCTTTTGCACAGAAATGCAACTCCTGACAGTCGGAAGGTGGTGAAGTGGAACGTCGAGGACACGATGAACTGGCTGAGACGAGACCATTCAGCCAGCAAGGAGGACTACATGGTACATTCTCAGTCGTGTTGCTCTGAGCTGCCTACCTAGACAGCATTTCAAGGCATCATATGCATGACCGTAATGCGGTCTTTCCTCAGGATCGACTCGAGCACTTGCGGAAGCAGTGCGGCCCTCACGTGGCATCCGTAGCGAAGGACTCCGTTGAGGGCATCTGTTCAAAAATCTACCACATTTCTGCAGAATATGTGCGCAGGATCCGGCAGGCTCACCTCACTCTGCTTAGAGAGTGCAACATCTCAGGTAGGCATTGGAGACGTCCATGAATCTGAACAGTGATCAGTGAGGGTTTTATTGTTGGACAAAAATCAACCAACTCCAAAAATAGGAGAATTTTTTGGCACTGGTGCAAATCTTCACTCTTGGTTTGACTAGAGCCTTTCTGATTTATTCTTCTTGCATTAAAGTGGATGGCACAGAGTCGAAGGCGGTCCAGGACCGGTTGGTGTATTGTTATCCAGCCAGACTGTCCATCCCATCTCCTCCTCAGCCGCGTGTTGAGCTGCACTTTGAGAATGACGTGGCCTGCCTGCGGTATAAAGGGGAAATGGTGAAGGTCAACCGCGGTCATTTCAGCAAACTGGTGTGTACATGCTAAGACGAGCTCAAAACAGATTAAGGTTGGATACATTGGGTTCATATTTTGTTAAATTTATTTCTCTGGCACAAACAGGAACTCCTATATCGGTACAGCTGTATTGATGACCCAAGGTTTGAAAAGTTCCTTTCTCGTGTGTGGTGCCTTATCGAAAGATACCAGGTAATACTCAAATTACAGGCATTGGTAACCAATCAGGAGACCGAATGCAGCATTAACGTGTGTTTCCGCCCCCCCCATAGGTGATGTTTGGCTCTGGTGTGAACGAGGGGTCTGGTCTGCAGGGGGCGCTGCCTGTTCCCATCTTTGAGGCTCTGAACAAACAATTTGGAGTGACATTCGAGTGCTTCGCTTCTCCTCTTAACTGCTATTTTAAACAGTTCTGCTCTGCATTTCCAGACATTGACGGCTTCTTTGGATCTCGAGGGTATGTAAATAATAAATAAGATTAACAATAACAACAACAATACGTCCAGGGACATCCGAGAGGTTAATTTGCTGTATTGGATCACTTCCGTATCTCTGTCCTCACAGGCCGTTTCTCAGCTTCTCTCCTGCCAGTGGCTCATTTGAGGCCAACCCTCCATTCTGTGAGGAACTCATGGATACCATGGTGAAACACTTTGAGGTGTGTGACTCTTTAACTTCATCCCAAAGTCATTAGATTAGAATATCTTTACATAAACATAAATGTACCCATGCTGATTCTCATTCTCTCTCTATCTTTCTCAGGATCTTCTGGAACACTCCAGTGAGCCGCTGTCCTTCATCGTCTTTGTGCCAGAGTGGCGTGACCCGCCGACCCCTGCCCTGACACGGATGGAGGCCAGCCGCTTCCGCAGACACCAGATGATCGTGCCTGCCTTCGAGCACGAGTACCGCAGTGGCTCGCAGCACATCTGCAAAAGGTCAGACATTTGTTGGTCTGTTTCCTTGTTCTTGTGGTTTTAGTTCCTTGTTCACTGCACAAATCTAACCAAAAGTGCTTTTAAACTGCAATCGCCACCAATGACATTGTTTTGTGAGGTTTAAAGGAGTAATTCACTCAGAAATGAAAATTTGCTGAAAATGTACTCCACCTCAGGCCATCCTGAGGATATAAATGAGTTTGTTTCTTCATCAGAACAGATTTGGAGAAATGTAGCATTACATCACTTGCTCACCAATGGATCCTCTGCAGTGAATGGGTGCCGTCAGAATGAGTCCAAACAGCTGATAAAAAGATCACAATAATCCACACCACTCCAGTCCATCAATTAACATCTTGTGAAGCAAAAAAAATGCATGTTTATGAGAATCAAATCCATCATTAAGACGTTTTAAACTTTAAATAGTTACTTCTGGCTAAAATGCGAGTCCTCTCTCCATAATATTGCTTTCTCCAGTGAGAAAGTCATTTAGTCTGAATCAGGAGATTAATGTGAAAACAGTCCACAACAGTTGTAAACAAACATGTGGGTGGATTTTGATGTGAGAGGACAACAGGAGATGGACTTTTTCACTGGACGAAGCATTATTATGGATTATTAGCTGGAAGCGATGGTTTGAAGTTAAAAACATCTTAATGATGGATTTGTTTCTTACAAACACAGCTTTTCCCTTCACAAGATGTTAATTGATGGACTGGAGTCATGTGGATTACTTGTGGATTATTGTAATGTTTTTATCAGCTGTTTGGACTCTCATTCTGACGGCACCCATTCACTGCAGATGGATTATTAGCTGGAAGCGATGGTTTGAAGTTAAAAACATCTTAATGATGGATTTGTTTCTTACAAACACAGCTTTTCCCTTCACAAGACATTAACTGATGGACTGGAGTGGTGTGGATTACTTGTGGATTATTGTGATGTTTTTATCAGCTGTTTGGACTCTTATTCTGACGGCACCCATTCTCTCCAGAGGATCCACTGGTGAGCAAGTGATGTAATGCTACATTTCTCCAAATCTGTTCTGATGAAGAAAAAAAAACAACATTTTTGGATGGCCTGAGGGTTTCTTTTTTGGGTGAACCGTTCCTTTAACCCATGTTTTGCTACCATGACTGATGTTTCCATCCTCTGTATCTCTCAGAGAAGAGATATACTACAAGTCTGTCCATGGAACGGCAGTCATTTTCCTCCAAAACAACGCTGGCTTTAGCAAATGGGAGCCCACCACGGAGAGAATCCAGGAGTTCCTGGCAGCGTATAAGATCTCTGGCCGTTCATTGCCCTCACCTGGTCCTCCTTCCACCAGTACAGGAGACAAAGACTCCAAACCGGTCCAGGAGCACTTGGCTAAGAGTCAAGACAACAGCAGTCCTGTTGACAAGACTGCACCGGACACAACAAACATTTAGACCGCGGCGCTGGCGTGTGGCCACGTGTATGTATGTATGTTCATGGGAAAGAGTCTATGATTGTATGAGAGGTTTATTATTGTGCTGTTGGGTTTAGATGAGCACTGGGCATGTAAATGTTCACGCTAGAAGAAGAAAGACTCATGTTTGTTTACTTTCTTCCTCTATTTTTTAAATATTATTTGTTTTAGGTTTTTGAGTTATGTTATAATAATTGTTGGGTTTTATATCAGTGTATTGATAGTTTGGTCACTTTTATGTTTTCTTTTTTTAAGAGATGATAAATGTAGTCGAGTATATCTTCTTCTTTTTTTTTCTTTTTTTTTGGCCTTTTATGGGTGAATCTCATTGAAATGTCATATTTCACACCAAGATCGAAAGAAAAATATTTTGCATAAAGCAAAAGCAGAAAGCCTTTTAAGCTTTCCATTAGCATTTTTTCAACAATTGAGCAAGTTTTGTAGTTGTAAATGGTGATTAAACTTACTACATTTTCATTTGTTATACAGTATTTACTGTATTACAGTTAAAAAGTTACTATTACAATGATATTTAAAAGATCAAATCAGAATAAATTCAACACAATGCAACTTAATTGTACTGGGTTATCTTAACCACCTTAATATATTTTGCATTACAGTAGTAAATTCTTATTATTTTTTTGCAATATGGTATATACAAATAATGTGAAAAAAAAAGAATGGTCTTCAAATAGGTTTCATTTTCTTTTATGCAAAATAAAATAGCATATTTCTTTGTTGATTTTGTGTTGAAATTAGACTAGCTTTGTGATATTCACTCTTTAATTCTGTGCTTTTCCCACTGGCAGGATTACGAAGCTGTCAATGAGTTGATGCTTGTATATTGTTGTTTTAGATGATTCAGAAGATGATCGGCGATCAGGCAGCTATGTTTAAATGCCTTCATCATGACATGCATCATTGTTAGGGCTTCTTGAAGCGGTCGTTGGTTCCCATTCATAGACGTTCCTTTCTGAGTTGAGAGGTCATGTTTGGTTGCTTCATGTCAGAATATATACTGTACGTAATAACAAAAGTTCAGTAAAAAAGCTGAAAAATATTTATAATCTAGTTTCCACCTAGTCATCCATCTGCAGTGAAAGCCAGTCCTTTTTCTTGTCTTTTTAAAATATTGTACAGAACACAATAACAAATCTGAAATTTTCTACATTGATTGCGTTCTTCGTTTCTGTACAGCACAAGCCTGTGTGAACCTCAAGTCCTAATGTGGCATTCTGGGCCACATCGATTCTAGCATTTAGGTCTAGCAATTGGAAAAAGCAAAGTAATATTTCTTATTAGTTATGAAAGCATTATTCCAGATGTTTGTAGTGTGTTATTGAGAATGAATTAGCTCGTAAATATGGCGTAGGCCCCTCGTTTTTCTCCAGTGAGTCTACCTCTCATTTCGGGTGTTTTATAATTCAAACGAAGCAGTAAATGAGTGGCTTATTCTTCCTTTAATAACTGCATTGGCGTCCAGTTATTAGAATTGGTAGCTATTGCCTTGATTTCACCGTTTCGTGTATGTGAAAAGTGCTTTAAAAGTCGACTTTTTTTGTTTTTTATTCTAATCATAGAAATTTGTTTACATGATATTCGTTTAAATTGTATCACTGGGCAGCGTTTTGAATGTACATTTTAAAAAAAGGAAAAGTGAAACGTTATTGATGGATTTGTTGCTACAATTGGACTTGAAATGTTGCGATTATCAACACTACAATGGTGGATCTTTATTTTTTGTTTGTTTTTGCCCTGCTAATACGTATGTAGGAATTCATATTGTATATTATCACTTTATTAAGCCCAATCACTTCCATCTGTAAGAAAGTATAGGTTTGTTTGGTTGTTTTTATGCAGTGGACTACATTGTCTTGTAGCCAAACTTGGGAAATGGCTTTTATATTAAGTTTAAAAGCATTCCAGTGGTTTGACGTGTAATGTAACCCAGCTTGCCATTTATAAAATCCAATATAACCCTTGGTAAGTATTGGGGAGTTGTTGGATTTCTTAATCCCAGAGTGGATCACCAGCAAAACTGTAGATGTTGTGCGTTTATTTGGAAGGAAAACAAAATGTCTCTTTCACCATGCTTTTTTTGTTGGTTTTAATTTGACGTTTTGGTTCTAAATAACTGTTTATGAATTTATAGAATTTATTAAATAGTTATTAAACCAAAATAAACCAAAGTGTTATTAAAAGAGGAGGAATTTATATTGTATCTTAAAGTAGAATTGTGTACGGTCGCATCAGTAATGCATAGTGTAACCAGCAAAAACATCCAGTTATCCATAACTTTATTTTTATAATTCTCTTTTGGTTATTTGTTTTCTTACAAAGGTATGTTTGGGTTTTTATTTTGCATGACCTGATATTTTTCATTACAAAAAAACAAAAAAAAACATAAATTGTACAGATCTGTATCGTTTAATTAGTCGTACGCTTTGCCACACTAGGCTTTTAACCGATTTGTATTTATCAGTCATGTTGATTTATATTTGGTTGCCATTGCGTTTGTTGATTCAGTGTCCTCTAAAATGCCATGAATGTCTCCCCTGTAATATTATTCTGATAAAGACAACGATTCAGTGAATGTAAATATGTCTGTGCTTATATGTTTCTTCTACCTGTATATTATCAGTGTTGTGGCATTTCCCATCACCTAAAGTGGTATAAAGATTTTCCTCTGAATCAGAAAAGCTCTCAGTAAAATATTGAAATCACGCACCCATCTCTGGCATTTGTTATTATATTTATTGTACATATTTGCTATTTAAGGAACTCAGAAACAGCTTAAAATCTGCTGAAATTGCACAGTTACACTAACAAAATGTACCATGGTATTACCTTTGTTTATTTTGGACACAGTGCCATGGTAATACCATGTTTTATGTGTATCTGGTATAATTTGGAGTTTTGTGCAATACCATGGTACATAAATATGGTAGTCGTAGAATCGTCCTTTTATCGAACATCCTTGGAAATAATTTATATATATTTGAAAAATAAAATAGTTTGTACTTTTTAAATTTGTAATATAACAACTATTTATCTATCTTTATCATCTTAATCTTCCGTGCCACAACAATGATGGCCGCTCGCTCCGTGTAAAGCATGACCACGCCCATTGTGTGGCTGCGCATGCGCACTACCGACCATTGACTTTTATTTTGAAATTCGCCACAGAACGCGCAAGAGCCGATGATGATTTTGTTTACGTCACGGCATTGTTGAGCTTGAGGAAGCGACTGACAAGTCATCGAGCTGTCGAACTTCGACAAACAGTGTTTTTTCCTGATTATTTAATTGTTTCTAAACGCGTGCCGTTAAGCCTGTTTTTCTCCATGCACATCTGTAGTAAAGTTTAAAGGGTCAGAATTAGCTCGCCAGCTTTCTGACTGCATTGAGTTGCTGTCAGCGCGCAGCGGTGAAGTGCACACTTATCGTTCAGCATCAAGAACCCCCTGCAGCGTTCCTATCGATCCGCATCGATCCGCTGAGCATTCATTGGTAGTGAGTGATGGGGGCCCAGAGGAGTGAGGGACGCAGAGACTGGCTCCAGCAGGATTTCAGCGAGCAGCAGGTCCAGACAGTGGTGAGTCAAACTCTATATATGCACCATAAGTGAGCATGAAATAGTGATGTCCGGTTCGCGAACGAACCGTTCGATTTAACCGGTTCTTCTTAGTGAACCGGTTGAACCAGTTCACCAAATCGGACTGAATCGTTGAAAAGTGTAAGCATTAATCCACAAATTACTTAAGTTATTCACTTTTTAAACGTGGCTGACACTCCCTCTGATTCGAAATAAACCAATATCCCGGAGTAATTAATTTACTCAAACAGTACACTGACTGAACTGCTGTGAAGAGATGAACACGAGCAGAGCAGCATCTGTGCAGCAAGCCGGATAATGAACGTACACGCCCACTGCTGGAGCGGTTCTCGTTCTTGAGTCAAGAACCGGTTGCATCGGTTTTCGGATCACCAGTACACTCAACCGAGAACCGTTTATTTCGGACACGTCCGATTTGAGAACCGATGAGCTGATGATACTGCGCATGCGTGATTCAGTGTGAAGCTACCGAACAGTAGCGAACAGTAACTACTATGACTGACACACACAGCACGTATGAAGCGAACTGGTTCTTTTGCACAACTGATTCTGTGCTAATGCTATGAGCGCGGGTAAACCGAAGACTTGAATGAAGGGCAATCTGGCGAAACGTACGTTTATTTAATAACAAATAAATCGCAATGGATTATGTATAGTAAGTGGATTATGGTTTCTGCGCTGATGACAACTAATTTATTTACTTTATATCTTCAAGACTTAAATCCTCGTATGCACATCACTGCCTGTTACTGTATTTGGGTGCTTAGCTGCAAAACTTAATTGTAAACTTTTCAGATCATGATTATGATGTTTTAACTGACTGAAGTTATGATTACTGACTTTATATATTTGAATGTGTATTTTCATCCAGGCCTGGGACGATAGACTTGATATCATTACATTAGGGCGTAAAAGAACCGATGAACCGGTTAATTTAAACGAACTGTCCGAAAGAACCGGTTCGCGGAAAAGAACCGGACTTCCCATCACTAGCATGAAACCTGCCAAGAACCTTTCCTGGTCACATTCACCCCAAAAATGTATAAAAGAAAATATATTTGCCACAAAGAAAACTAAGCCTGTTTTTAGGACAATTAACAATTTTTGCATTGTAACATAATTTTCTTGACAATTAAGCACATATAATAACAAAATAGTTTAGTGCTTCAAGTGTAATGTATTTATTACCTTTAAAAAAAACCTGTACTTTTATCTATCTGTAAATCAAAATACTGAGTACTAAATTATTGCACTGGCTGTCAAACCATCCTTGCAATTACATGCAATTATAAATTAAGCATTTTATTATATTATGGCCATGCAAGAGGGCTGTCCTAATTGGATCTTAGTTGTTGCATCCTTCTTTATGACCATTTTCATTTATCTGGATGTTGTGAAAATGTTTTCCTGAATGGCAGAATCCCTGGAACATCATGATCAAACACAGACAGGTTCATCGCAGAGGACGACGCTCACAGATGACGGTCAGGTAAGTCCATAAATGTGCATTTCAAGATTGATGAAGTGCGTGATTTGTTAAACTACTATAATCTCAGGTTAGTTGACATTTGTGGCTCTTTCAAAACGTCACTATGTTTGATTGAGCGTGTCATTGTGTGAAGTTACACAGATCCTGTCATTTCCATGGATCTTCTGCGAACTGTTCTGCAGCCCAGCTTTAACGAAGATATCCGTGCTGTGTTCAGAAAATATATGAAGGTGACTGATCGATCATGTTATTTTTTTGGGACTTGTTATGTGTGATTAAATTGCTCTGATCGTGTGTTTTACTCTTTTCTTTGTGCAGTTTTTTGAGAAAGCGGCCAGCAATGTGAAAGAGAATGTTGGAGGAGATGTCCAGCCTGACCAGCTTATCAGAGATGCCTGCAGAAGCTGCCTGGAACATGTAAATCATGATTTATGCATATTTTTACAAAAAAAAAAAACATATATATATATATATATA